CCGCCGCCGCCGCCGCCGCCGCCGCCGCCGCCGCTGCCACCACCACCCGGCCCGCTATTCTTAATAGAAGAGATTTTTGCTGGCGGTTTTTAAACCTGAAGACACATGATCAGTGGCAATCAACAGAGAAGGTGTGCCGAGTCAACAGCCCCGGACAGCCTTGGACACACCTCAGTGGCCTAAAGTCCTTTGGCCTCAGTTTGCTGTGTTCTAATCTGTGGTAAGGAAACAGAGGGTTCTGGAATGTCTCTTGTCTTCAGCCCACTCTGCTGATGTATGCCCAGAGAATACCACTGGGCTTAAATGGAATGTTCATCTGATTGTGCTGTGTCCAAAGAAGTGATTCCAGGTGACCAGCAGCCTCATACCATCTAGGTTCTCTTTTTCAAAGACATTCCCATTTCTTTTTCTCAGTATACCCAAGAAAGTCTTGGGCTCACCAGTTCACTCATCAAAGGATAAAGAGATGGTGTTTAAGAGAGTCAGAGGTTCTTAAGTGCCCAGGCACTGCTCTTTGGTATAGGGTGACTTTATTTCATGTCGAGTTTCCTGGCTACAAATTTTAGGAGCAGAAAATGCTGTAAAATTCCTAAATTTCACTTTATTCACCTGCAAATTGGAATTAATTTGAGGATCCATCTCATGAAGATGGGGGATGAATTATATGACAACACTGAGCATTATGCCTGCTCATAGTTAACAGTCTATATTATCACTGATATTATTTTAAATTATTATTATTGCCATTAATCTACAATTATTGGTAAGAGAAAGTAAACGATGGGCAAATATTCCTGAAGATGTCTTAGCTGTAGATCAGAATTCACATACTAATACATGTAATCTTTGAAAATGCTGATTTTATTTTATTTTGAACACGTATATAGCATTTACTTAGTAACGGTCACTCTTCCAGCTATCAGTTTATGTGTCTCCACACAAGTTTACAAAAGAGTTGCCATTGTTCAAGATGGGTAAGTTGAAGAAGCAAAGGGGAGACTGAGGTTGGTGTGCCGCAAACCTGGGAGACACAGGAACTTGGCTTGACTTACCTCATACCCAACCAACACCCCCATACTGGACTCCCAGTGTGGCACTGTTATGCTTAGTTGTGGGCACATGACATTCCCAAACAAGAAGAACTTAGGTTCAAAAGCCAGTGTAGAAATAGAATCTTAATTACATAAATATCTTTGAAGCATTCATGTAAACAGTCTACTGTTTCAAAAGAAAAATAACACAGTTGAAAGATTGTGTCTATTGAGACAGTATAAAATAAATCATTACAAGAAGGAGATTAGGGGTGGTATATACACAAACACAAGTGAGTATTCTGTGTATAAATATTTACAGCCTTTTTCTATTGGCTCCAGCCTTGTATGTATGTATGTATGTATGTATGTATGTATGTATGAATATTTGCAACATCACATACACATGTAGGAGGATTTAACATTTAGCTAAAGTAGCTTGAGACTTTTTTTTAACCTTTAGTCTATTGTACAATTTTAAGAAACACCTAATTCCCATATGCAGGGAGTGTGACATCATAAACCCCCTTAAAGCTAAGATATGGGTAAGTATGATGAATACAGAAAATGTGTATCACTGTCAAGTATTTGTATATTTATGCTGTTCCTCAACTCTATCCAACTAAATGTTCTTAGTGATTGTTTGGGACTGAAATATATTATTGAGAATGATCACATTTGTGTTAATGAAATGATGTAGCTATAAATATTTTCATATTTTTGGAGTTCTCATGTTGTTCTCCGAGTGGGGAATTTTTCCTCTTACATGAATTAGTACTTTGTTACTTTAAGAAATGGTTTGGTTCAAAAATTTAAATCTTTAACATTCAATTAAATGACTCAAAATTTTTCTTGTAACTTTTTCTCATTAAACATAACTAGCACGATACACTCAGGCATATACATGGGTCATTGTGCAAGTAAATGCTCCCTTCCTTACTTGTTTGCTGCTGGTAATGAATAACTAGAGGCTCTAGATAAGAACTCAACCTTATTGCGGATGATACGACAGCTATTTACAGATGCCAAGAGTTAGATTGTGAGAAATAGAGAAAAAAAATCTACCAATGTCTGTGAAATGAAAGCAGATAGCAAGTGTTGCTCACATGTCATGGTGTTTATCACCACGTACTATCATTCTTCCTTCAGAGCGAATGAATCATTTTAAATAGAAGCAAACTGATCCTCCTATTAGCAAGTCTAAATCAGTAGAGCAACATCTATTTTCAGAATCTTTGTAGCTATTATGGGACCGTTACAGTGTGCAACACTTAGCCCTGTCCCAAAATGACAGCATTCTGTTACAAATAGATGATTAAGGCCTCAGTACCAGTGTCTCTATTGTGGAACCTTTGGTTGGGAGAGCTGACAGCTGGGAGAAGCTCTGTGTTTTGAAGGTTATGATCACAGCAGTTTCATAAGTGCTTCATTTCAGTTCTCTTCTGGCTGCAGAAGGGACAGGTGCCGTCTGGGTCCGATTTCACTGGTCTTAATTTCTTATCTGACCTGGTAGTTGATCAAGGGCATGAGAGAAGGGACTGAGGGCAAGATGGATGAGTGGGAGGGAAGAGATTTGGGGGCTAGAAGCTGCAGGGGAGGATACCAGTGTCTGTGAGGGACAATGTGTGCATGCCTGTGTGCTTGTGTATGTCTGTGTGTCTCTCTCTGTGTGTCTCTCTGTGTGTTTGTGTATCTGTGTCTCTGTGTGTGTCTCTGTGTATGTTTGCATGTGTGTGTGTGTTGCTAGGAATCTAACTTTTCGCATTCAGAACCTGGCAGCCCCTCCTGTCATTCTGCACCGCCGTGTGTACGCATGCTACCCTGTGCAAAATGGATTTCTGAGTGTTAACCATCATGTTCTTTTTTTCCAAAGGGTCTTCTGTAGGATTTCATTTGCAGAGCACAGAGGGCAATATCTAGGGTAATTCCAGGGCTTAGTGGCAGTGATCTTTTGTCAACTCTCCTTGTGAGAGAAATTAAACTGGGTATGAGCACTCACAATCGCAGGGAGTGCAATGCCATCCCTGGCCAATGGGTAGGAAATCCTAAACCCAGCAAGTATTTATGAGAGGGGAAAAATGAGATGCCATAATACGACAAGAATATATTCATTAAATCTTTCAATTTCTCAGAAACAGAATTCCCACTTCAGTAAAAGGCTTTGAGCAGATTTATCAAGTCAGATATTTTTACTTTTATGAGATTTGACTCCCTATGCTAAAATGAGATATATTTAAAAGCAGGACAGCCCCACAAAAGGAAGAAAGCTTCTGAAAAGATGAAGTTAATAACATACTCGCCACTGTGCCTTAGATAGAATACCAGATAAGGTCCATAAGACACACTGACAACATCTGAATGCACATACAGACACCAAAATAAATCATGCTTTAAAAGCACTGGGCAAGGTATTGAATTATTACATATTTTTAAAACAGTAGTCAAGGCAGTTTTATAACCTCTTATAATTGCCAAGCAATTTCATTTTATTTCGATACAATCAAACAATAACAGCTTGCATTTAAGGTATTTGCCTGAATAGCTTTCACAATTACAGCATGTCTATACTGCTTTCCCACAGAATGTCCTTAGTGTATGCTGGGAAATAAGCACACAGGACTACGCCCATCACCATCGCCTTGAATGATTCTTGATTTTTGAGAACAGCATAGGTGTATTAAGACAGGTGTGATTCTAGTCATGGTACAAAGTCGAAATAATTTTATGTTGTGTTGGGTTTAGAATTTCCCAACTAACTCTGTTTGTCTCAAATTGGACCAAGGTTTAACATGGACAATCTTTTTAGCAAGTGAGAAAATAAACTTCTCTCAGATTTGCTTAGCACTGAACCAAGATTTGGATGTTGTCCACTATGGGAAGTACACAAGAGCTGCCTTCAATGTCAACGTGTTTTATTCTTGACCTTGACAATGCACAGGCTAAAAACAGTCTTGAGTTTCAAGTTGTAACTGTGTGACACTTGTAACTGGTATTCATGCCTGTGTTCTTGTGCATATCTTTGGGAAAATACAGGTGGTTATGCTGAAGGGAAAAAGACAAACCTGGGGTTTTAACTTAACTCTAGCTACATGATGGGGACTTTAACTGTCAAAATCCAGGATTGATTCTACATTTTGGTACTCACAATATGCTAGTAAAGCCTGCTGGTTAGGATTATTACTGCATATTTTTTGGTGTTTTTTATTTATTAATTTTTTTCATTTTTATAGCAACCACAGTCCCCCCTCCCATCCCTCCTCCTGCCCGGCTTCCCCTCCTCCCAACCTCTCTCTCCATGCTCCTCCCCATCTGATCCACTCCTCCAAAAGGGTAAGGTCTCCTATGGAGAGTCAACAAAGTCTGGTACATTCAGTTGAGGCCTCCCCCTGCATCAAGGCTGAGCAAGGCATCCCATCATAGGTAATGGGCTCTAGAAAGTCAGCTCATGCACCAGGGATAGATCCTAATCCTAATGCCAGGGGCTCTTCATACAGACCAAGCTACTACACAACTGTCTCCGACATGCAGAGGGGCTAGTTCAGTCCCATGCAGGCTATTGGTATAGAGTTTGTGTGTTCCCACAAATTTGGCCCAGTTGTCTCTGTAGATCTTTCCCCATCATGATCTTGACCCCCCCCTTGCTCATATAATTGCATTTTCTTAAAAATGTACCCTGAGTTAAAATTCTTGCAATTAACTTTTACAGTGTGTGCATTATTTAAAAATATTGGCTATCAAGAATAAGTCTTATTTTGTTGGCTTTTCTGTGTCCGTTTCTTCATAGCCTTGACAAAAAAGAAATTACCTGCAAGAATAAGAACACAGAGGCAGGGCGCTCACATCTTGAGTATGTCAAATGAACCCAAATGTGGTGACTTCAGTGTGAATGACACACATATGGAGGGCACAAGAAAAGAACATGACAGGTGATGCTAAAAACTGATTTAGAAATGCTTGGCTCCTGTATACAATCTATTTTATTTATTAATTATTGTTATTGTTATTATAATTATTGTATGTGCAGGTGTGAATGTGGGTGTGCATGTGTAAGACAGAGGACAAGTTTCCAAGTCTCTCCTTCCACCTTATAGAGGTACATTCCCTTATTTTTGCAGGCTGAGTACTTAGGCTAGCTGGTTCTACTCCCCGGTATAGGAGCCCTGGGCTTTCAATGCATGCTACCTCACCTAGCTTTTTACTTAGGTTCTAGGGATCGAAGTTAGCTTGCTGGATCTGTGTGGCAAACACTTTTGCCCATTGATGCAGCCTGCTATCACTTAGGCTTTTTACTTATTTCTAATTTTTAACTCTTTGGTGAACAACTGTCAGTGTTTCTTTGGGAGTCAGTTTAGAGTATAGTGATTCACTGTGTCTGTGGCCAAGGATGTGTGGGCCTTACCTACACACCCAGTCAACAGTAGGGGCAGTTGATGCATGGTCAGGAGCTAAAGGGACCTCATGAGGGTTAGCCTTGTGATGTCAAGGGGAGGCTTTTGTTTCTAGTTGGGTGTCCACTGTCAAGTATTGCCACCCCCCCTACACATCAATGCTCATTCTTTCACTGACATTATTGATAGCTATTTACATTCTTTATGGTCAAATCTCTCTCTCTCTCTCTCTCTCTCTCTCTCTCTCTCTCTCTCTCTCTTGCACAGTAAAAGATCAAGATCTATCCTACTATCATTTTTATGGTTCATATTTATTTTCTCTTATTGTACCTGTTCTACCTTTACCATCTGTGTGACTTTAGACAAATTAATACCTATGTACCTCAGGTTCCTATTTGCAAAATAGGCATGATGATAATATTTGCACAATAGAGCTTTAATGAGTATCAAGTTAGAATCACTTACTATGTCATGTCTAGTAAGCACTCAATAAATGTCAGTTGTATGGAGAATGCTTTTAACATTGACTGGTGCAAAGCCTACTACCAAATAGATATTTGTTAGTTATTTCCCATCTTTAAATGACATTAAAAAAGGGTGGAACACAGTAATCATTATTAAAGCCATTTTTTTTTGTATTACAGGAAATGTTGTGTAGCTGACAAGCTAAGGCCCTGTAGGGCCAGGCATGCCTTTCTTATTCTGTTTGTTTCCTGCATGTTGGAGACAACAAGATATCATTTCTCTCTGTTTTAAGATATTATGAATTCTGTGTCACAAAGTCATGAATTAGGTTATCTAATTTTATTCTAGCAAAACCTATATATTTTGGGCTGAATAAAGGCCATTTTTATTCAGTTATCCTTCATGTAGGTGACTGGTTATTTCTCTCCTTACCAGAGTCAAGGTAACACATCCCACTAGTTATTCCTACAAAATTGAAATGTCCTTTTTGTTTTTTCTGAGGTACAGCAGAATGAGCTGTGTTTCTGCAGGCACAAAGACGGCTTTACAGAAGGGAGGGAGGAAGGGGGAAGGAGGAAGCCACTGGTTTATCCAGAGCCTTTGAGGTCTTCCTGCTGACTGCTCTTGGCACATGTCCGTATGCTGGCCAGATAGGCATGCATTCCAATCCTGTGGCTAGCAGTACATGCAGTTATATGAGGGTCTAGGAGGATGCAGGATTTCCCAAATACTCTCTTACTATGCTCTTCTGCCATACTATCATCCAGAGAGCCATCTTGTACCCTGTAAATCTTTTTTTTTTTTTTTTGTGTGTGTGTGTGTGTGTGTGTGTGTGTGTGTGTGTGTGTGTGTGTGTTCTCTACCATGATTCTGGTGTACAGGCAAAAAACTCTGTCAGAATACCATACAACTTGACTTTGATTCCATTCAGGTTATGAAAAAGTTCAGGTGACAGAGACCAGCTTCCTATCATCCTTGATGAGCTTCTGAGCCTGAAAAGCATGCTCTATGGCTCTGTGACTCCTTTCATTTAAAGTGTTCTGTGTCTATGCTCACTTTGGAGAGGCTTTCCTTCCTGAGTGCTTTCCATTTCACTGATATTTTCTTCAACTCATTTTGCTAGGAACCTGTGACATGCTGTGTTGACACTTGACTCTTTCCATCATCATCTTTTTCATTAGTGAAGCTGCAAAGGACATTGAACTCTGCAAAATTCGGTTGCCATAAAATGAACACAAAATAAGAAAATTTAAAAATGGAAATGGCTTAAAAATTCATCTGTATTATTATTTTTTAATATTTTTATTTTATAATTAACTTAATTTCACATATCAGCCACAGATTCCCCCATCCTCCCTCCTCCAATCCCCTAATCCTCCCCCAATACATCCCCATTCCTACCTCCTCCAAGGCAAGGTCTCCCCTTGGGAGTCAGCCCAGCCTGGTAGACTCAGCCAAGGCAGGTCCAGTGCCCTCCTCCCTACACCTAGGTTGAGCAAAGTGTCACAGCATAGGCCCCAGGCTCCAAAAGCCAGCCCATGAACCAAGGACAGGTCCCAGTCCCACTGCCTGGGGTCCTCTCAAGCAGTTTAAGCTAATCAACTGTCTCACTTATCCAGAGGGCCTGGTCCAGTTCCATGGGGGCTCGTCAGCCATTGGTTCACAGTTCATGAGTTTCCACTAGTTTGGCTATTTGTCCCTGTGCTTTTTCCAATCATGGTCTCAATATCACTCGCTCATACAATCCCTCCTCTAACTGATTGGACTCCTGGATCTCCACCTGGGGCTCGGCCATGGATCTCTGCATCCACTTCCATCAGACACTGGATGAGAGTTCTATCATGACAGTAGTATGCAGGATTTCCCACATACTCTCTTACTATGTCAAATCTATCATGACATCTGATCACCAGAGCAGGTCAGCTCAGACACTCTCTCGACCATTGCCAATAGTCTATAGTGGAGGTATCTTTGTGGATGTCTGGGGACCTCTCTAGCACTTTACTTCTTCTTATTCCCCTGGGGTCTTCATTCATCTTGGTATCTCCCTTTCCATTCTCCCACTCTGCTCCTGATCCAGCTGGGACCTCCCAGTCCCCTAAGCTCTCTTTCTCCTGACCTTTGCCCTCTATTACTCCCTCCCAGTTTGCTCATGCAGATCTCATCCATTTCTCTGTTGTTGGGCAATCCCTGTGTCTTTCTTAGGGTCCTCTTTACTAGGTAGCCTCCCTGGAGTTGTGAGTTGCAGTCTGGTTATCCTTTGCTTTACATCTAGTATCCACCTATGAGTGAGTACATACCATGTTTGTCTTTCTGAGTCTGAGTTACCTCACTCAGGATGATTTTTTCTAGTTCCATCCATTTGCCTGCAAACCTCATGATGTCATTGTTTTTCTCTGCTGAGTAGTACTCCATTGTGTATATGTACCACATTTTATTTATCCATTCTTCGGTTGAAGGGCATCTAGGTTGTTTCCAGGTTCTGGATATTACAAATAATGCTGCTATGAACATAGTTGAGCATGTATCTTTGTGGTATGATTGAGCATTCCTTGGGTATATGCCCAAGAGTGGTATAGCTGGGTCTTAAGGGAGGTTGATTCCCAATTTTCTGAGAAAACTCCATATTGATTTCCAAAGTGGCTGTACAAGTTTGCATTCCCACCAACAGTGGAGGAGAGTTCCCCTTGCTCCACATCCTCTCCAACATAAGCTGTATTCAGTGTTTTTGATTCTGATGGGTGTAAGATGGTATTTCAGAGTTGTTTTGATTTGCATTTCCTTGAAAACTAAGGATGTTGAGCAATTCCTTAAATGTCTTTCAGCCTTTTGAGTTTCTTCTGTTGAGAATTCTCTGTGCAATCTCCATCAAAATACCAAAACAATTCTTCACAGACCTGGAAATAACAATACTCAATTTCATATGGAAAAACAAAAAATTCAGGATAGCCAAAAGAATCCTTTACAATAAAACAACCTCTGGAGGCACCACAATCCCTGACTTCAAGCTCTACTATAGAGCTACAGTAAAAAATAGCTTGGTACTGGCATAAAAACTGACATGTGGATCAATGGAACTGAACTGAAGACCCTGACATTAATCTGAACACCTATGAACATATGATCTTCGACAAAGAAGCCGAAACTATACAATGGAAAAAAGAAATCATCTTCAACAAATGGTGCTGGCATAACTGGATGTCAACATGTAGAAGACTGCAAATAGATTCATATCTGTCACTGTGCACAAAATTTAAGTCCAAGTGGATCAAAGACCTCAACATAAATCCAGTTACTCTGAACCTGATAACAGAGAAAGTAGGAAGTAGTCTTGAACGCATTGGCACCGGAGATCACTTCCTAAATATAACACCAGTAGCACTGAGAGAAACAATCAATCAATGGGACCTCTTCAAACTGAGAAGCTTTTGTAGGGCAAAGGACATGGTCAACAAGATAAAATGACAGCTTATAGAATGGGAAAAGATCTTCACCCACCCCACACCTGACAGAGGGCTGATATCCAGAACATATAAAGAACTCAAGAAATTAGACATCAAAATACCCAACAGTCCAATTACAAAATGGGCTCATCTGTATTATTTTTGACTATTTTTTTTACTTTGGAAATTTTAAAAATATGCACATAGACAGCAGAGTACAGGGACTCATTCTTAACTCCCAAAGAGTTCAACTTCTACCGAATTGTATAGCATTTAGCACATAATTTTGGATCATTTTGAATCAAATTCCAGATAGAATTTTATCCTGTAAGTATTAAAAAAAACTATCCTAAGTATATTGTTTTCAGAGTTACCAAATTACCCTATCTAAAATTTTAACAAATATTAGTAATCATAATACTTGAATACCATTAAATACTCATTCATTACTTATACTTCCAAATATTTCATGAAAACTCTCTCTCTCTCTCTCTCTCTCTCTCTCTCTCTCTCTCTCTCTCTCTCTCTCCTCTCTCTCTCTCTCTGTGTGTGTGTGTGTGTGTGTGTGTGTATGCATGCATTTCCTGTTTGGTTTTGAATAGACATCAAATACTGATGAACCATTACAGTTGGTTAGCATACGTGTTAAGTTCTCCTAAAAGACTCCTATTCTGGGTCTTTTTTTCTTGAAGAAACCATTTAGTTTTTCCTATAAGATTATCTGGTTTTGTTTTAGAGTCTGTGCTTTGCTTTGCTGATTACATGCCTGTAGGTGTTTTTTTTTTTTTTTGTTTTGTTTTTTTTTTTTGTTGTTGTTGTTTCATCAAAGGCATGTATTTGTGGGCCTAACCCTCCACGGACAACCTGTACCAAGTTGGATTGGATTGGAGATGGGCATACCCTGAATCCTCTCAAGAGTGAGGGACCAGTATGTGTACATGGGATATGCTTTGGACTGGAGATATTAGGGACCCTGCTACTGGACTCTCAGGTCTTGGGGGCTCTGTGACAGGTTTCCAAGGCCTGAAAGTCCCAGCATTCTCTGCTTCCTAAACGGGCTTCTGGTTCTGGGCAAGCTGCTTACTCATGATAGCCACTTAAAGCAAGTATATGGGTTTCTTGAGGTCAAAGTCTGAGTAATTTACACATTTTTATTGGGAAAGATTATCTTCCAGCATGCCTCAGAACTTCAGGCTCAATTAGGTACCTGCCAATGTGTGCAAATAATATTGTAAAGGCTCCTGTATTTACACAATGCTGATGATGAATGATTCAGCTTTGCATTAAAGAGACACGGGAGCCAGTGGCAAAGATGAACCAACGTTGGGGTGCAATGCTAGTGTCCCCTGGAAGAAAAGCAGGGGAGACTGGACATTTGGTGCTTAACAGGGTGACCCTGTGCTCCCTGTGTACGTAAGAGTTCATGTCCATGATGCTGCCGGCACTACATGGTCCACTTCAATGCTACCACGCCACAGTGCTTGATCAAGGCAACAGTCACATGCTAACCTTGTGGCTTGAGGGACAGATAAGACTGACAAGTGTGGGTTCCCTCCTCAGGGTCTGCATCTAGCTGGCAAAGAAGTGGCAGCTTAGGGCACTATAAACACAGTACAGGTGTGGTTGTACTCCCATACTCCACCCCCATCCTTCTGTTGAAGTTTCAGTTTGTTTTCTCTTCCTGCTTTTGGTTATTATTGTTTTTATTTTTGGAGATACTTTGTAGCCCCTGCTGGCCTAGAATTGTCATCCTTTTGCTTCAGTCTCTGGGCACTGGGCCTACAGACATTTTCCATCAAGCCCAGCTGCTCTTGGGGGTTTTAAAAGTTGACAGATGAATTAGATTTAGTTTTTTTCCTTTCCTTCTTTGTTTTTTATCAGTCTTTGGTAATTTCATTCATG